TCTCTGTGCTCCTCCCCTTCGTCTTCCTCCATCCTTCTGTTTCTTCCTTCCTGATGGCCTCTTTCCCCCTCCCTTTGCTCCTGGGCCTCCTCCTCTTCTGGGCCTTTCTCTCCCTTACCCAAGCCTTCCATCTCTCCTCCTCCCTTGTCTTCCCCCTCCCCACCCTCCTCACTCTGCCTCTGTTCCACTCTTGAACTTCCCTCCTGCTGGACTCCCTCACCTCCACCTCCTGCCTTTCCCTTGCCTTCACTCACCTCCGCTCTGTCTGTCAGGTCGTCTGACAGGATCTCTATCTCCTCCTCCTGCTTTCGTGTGGGCACTTTCACATTTTCCTCACTTGCCTCTACCTCTGGCTCCTCTACTCCACTTCCTTCTGAATCCTCTGCTCCTTCCTGCTCTTCAGGGATCTCTGACAAGTGGTCACATTTAAAATCGAATTTTGCCAGGAATTTGGACAGTTTGTGTTCAGTCTCCTCCTCATGTCCTTGTTCGATAAATTTTCTGCTATACCACAAGTTTGGGTCCATTTCCACTTCGTCATCCTCTTTCTCTCCACTACTAAATTCTACGGACTCAGGCTGCTCGAAGCCGTCAGTGGTGCCTTGCTGACTTGCACTTTCGCCTTCCAAGTAACTGTCTGGCTCGTCTAGAGAGTCTCTTTCGCTGTCAAAAATCATATCTCGCTTGCTCCTCTTACCGTCCTCAATAAAATCTTTATTGTCTTCATCATCAATATTTATGTCTCTATTTGGTAAGTTGTCAAAGAACATATTAATATGTCTTAAATTCTCTTCGATTTGTCTCCTAGCCTTCAGACCTGCCATTTCGGCCAGCTCAGTTTCCTTCTCAGAGACTATTTCTTCTGCATCTGGATCCTTCTGCCACTGGCCTGCATCACTTGCCTTTGCTATGGCCTTCCTGTCAGGTGGATAAAGACCATGCTTACTCTCATGTCTGAACAGCCCTCTTTGCACACCCTCTGCACGGGTGTCAGCTCGAGGCCCAGGCTGGCCTGAGTCACTACCTATGTCCTCATCTGAAAATGCTTCCGTAGTCATAGCTGCTTGCATCACGTACATTCCTTTTGCCAAAAGTTGTTTATAGACTCTCCCCTCATTCACTGTTTTGGACATCTCTTCACTTGTAAATCCTTTACTATCATCGTTTTCAGAGTGAGCTGTATGCTGCTTCAGTTTCTCAATTGTTTCTTGTTTCTGTAAATTTTTGAAGTAATCGTCATACTACTGTTAGTGGACAAAGGGCACTTATCTACTACAAAACACTGCCCAGATTTTGCATTACTCTAAGTTTCGCTAGCAGAATAAAAATGTCCAGTTTTCCCAGACATTTTGCTCAGACTGGCCTCTTGCTGGCGAGAACCGCCACCATCTCTGAGTCTGCGGCACCTGGAACTCCGCCGTGGCACACAGGTCAGCATCTCACTTGCGCGCGCTCACCACCTACCCTCATGTTGCCTCCACTCACACAGGTCAACTCACGTCAGGATGTCTCCTCCACCCCTTAAATGGAATTGAGTCTTAAAGAGAATATATTTCTAGACAGATTGTGCAAAATACCGGTAAAAAAAAAAAAATGTACACTTCTCTTGTATGAAATCAGGTTCGGTTTCCTTCTTTCCTACCTTCCCTGTTATTTTAATTGTTAGACTTTGATTGGTCTTTGAATTCCGTGAAATTCACAGAATTAAAGAAAATTAACGAAAATATGAAATTGTTTAATATTGGAAAAAATGAATAGCTTATGCCTAGAAGGAAAATCTGAAATGAAAACGACAAAACTTTTAATCAGTATACTAAAAAATACGTTTCTTTTCAAAACAAATCTTTGAGTTTTCAAATTTTTGACCTTCTTCCTTTTATCTATTGTATTCTTTAATTATAATAACTTACATACATGAAACTTACCACTATGTGGAAAAGTATCTGCAGTAAAATGTAAGATTTTTATAAAAGCTACAAAATTAAAGACTGCGATTTGAATGCTACATTACGAATATGAAATTCATTTCCTGCTGGACAAAATAAGGCAAAAATCAAATCACTGACCTAAATTCTGTAAGCTAATGAACTGAAATATTTGATAAATTTGGGTCTCTGGAGAGTGAAATCTCACTAAATCAAGTGTTATAAATTGTCATGAGCGCTAGGCCCAGGAAGAAGTCATTTTTTGCCCCCCCAAAATTAAAACAGCACAAGTTAAACATTAATATATGGAAATACTACAGTAAATCATTTTTTTAATTCACTAAAATAGGTCTGGTTGAGCCTCTACTTAAAAGGACTATGTCAAGCATAAAATATCAGTTTAAAAGGAAGTGCTTTCCTTCTGCTTGTTCTAGGTCATACTTTTTAAAAAGTCACAATTCTTTCAAGAGCCCTAAAGAGAGGCAGAGGCCCAGCTGCCAGAAATGATTTCTAAATGTATGTGCCTTTACTTCCCTAGCATAATCAAATAGCACAGAAGAGGCAGAGCCCCGAGTCTAAGAGAAGAGGAAGGAGAGACAGGAACGGATGTCTGCTTGGAAGTGCAGTCAGTCAATAAAGTCAGTCAACCTTCGCTGAGCTTCCACACCGGGTTAGGACAATAGTTTTCCCATATTCAAAATGAATGCTGTTACTCACCACGCCTCTGCCTCTCGGTAAAACAGAGATAAGACTTAACAAAGACTGGCACAAATTTTTAAAAGTCAGCAAGATTCTCTTGCATTTCAGTGACTTTGACTTTGAGGATTTTTAGTTTAATAATGTGACGAAGGCACTGGAAATATAAATTAAATATTGTCTATAAGCCTTCTTCCTTCAATTTCTATTTCTCCGATTTACTTTTCTCATCCTCAAACCCCTCCTTTCTTTCACCCCACTGGTCCTTAAAGCCAGGAGAAGCAAAAGATTTCAGGTCAGGCCTTTGTCTCTCCAGGGTTGTGAAAAGCACCAACTATTCCTTTCTCCTGCTACTCATTTGTTATTCATTAAAAACCTCTCTTTATCACCCATGCATGGTTTCTGATTAATTTCCAAATGTTTAATTTTGTTTTTATGCTATCAATCCATGATAGAGTAAAGCCTATTCCGTACACTGGAAAAGCAATTATCAAATATTTTCACTAAAACCACCAAATTTTAGAGCTCAAAAAGATGTTAATATCATCTTTGAGAACAACACGGTAATTCAACCAAAGTCATGCTCAACCCAAGTCTGAGAACCATTCTGATAAACGCTAGTAGCTTCTTCCAACGCTTATGAACTGCCATAATAATCCTTTGCCTTGATGATAAGAAAATGTGGCTACTACGACTTGTTAGTGACAACAAAAAGCAAATTTCAGCAATGAAATCCTGCCATATATCTGAAATACATACCAACAGAACAAACCCAAGTTGAGGCCATCTACAATGTATTCCTCTTTCAAAATCTAAAGTAAACGAATACTTATCTTTCACGTATTCTTTTCAGAAAGCTTTCAAGAAAAAAATATGAACTGTTCTTACCCACCAAGTGAAAAGAACCCTCTATATTATACCTTTTGTTTCTGAATTGGTGATAATTTTAATGACTTCTCATTGGAATTCAGGCTCATCATATGTGTCTGCAAGAAATAAAAAATATATGTTCTAAAAAGAATAAAGAGTATATATAAGATTATATTTACATATTCTTATATAACAGTAACAGTAATATAGATATAGATTATATAACAGTAATATATAGATTATATAACAGTAATATAAATATAGATATATCAGACAGTAATATAATCTACACTCAACTGCATACTAATGATACGAAGATCATAATTAATTATACTGTATGTCATCTATACTTCAATAAAATAATAAACATATAGCATACAAAAATAACAAAATGGAAGCAAACCCTTTTTAATGCAAGGAACAGCACATGTATTCAACACACAAATATGAATACATGATGAACTAAAATCCAAACATATCTATATTGATAAATAAGCAAACCAATACCATATTTAAGACATCAGTAGTTTCTCCAAGGCTTTCTGAATCTCCGGCTGAAGAATTGTCTGCCTCTTTCCCTTTGGCCATTTTATCACGAAAATAATCTGATTAAAAGGGAAAAGAGAAAACCAGCTTTCAATGGAAAATTGAAAGACAAATGGACAATAAGTTATTCTCTAATGTAAAGTGCAGGCATAATTTTACTGAAGTCCTTCAACCTCATGTTAAGGGAACTGAACAGAATTCATTCACAGTGATAAGAGGTTTTAAAGTCTCTTTCTGAAAGTTTAAAGACCAGTGCTGGTGAAATAGGAACTGCTTCGTTCATATGAACAGGCAAACCTTTGGGAGAACTACTACCCAGGTATCAAGCACTATAACAGTGAGTCCCCAAAAAGGGCCCTGGTGACCCACATCCACCCGAGATGGGGCCCCTTATGTCATTCCTTTCCACATTTTACCAGGTAGTTCTATATGGCCAACAAAACAAAGCAGCCATAATTGTGATGTTACCACAGTTTGTATGTCTGTCTTTCTTGCATCACTTTCTCTGGGGGCAAGCCATGCTAGGAGCATTCCTAGGGAGAAGCCCACGTGCTGAGGAAGTAAACCTCCTGCCAATGGCCATGCGGGGCAGCACGGAAGAGCATCCTACAGCCCCAGTGGAGCCATTGGTGACTCCAGCCCCATCTGACAGCTTGATTGCACCTGCATGAAACGCCCTGAGCCAGAACCCCTCAGCTAGGCTGCTCCTCAATTCTTGACCCTCACAAACTCTGTGAGATGAGTTTTAAGGCCACTTGTTACATGAAAAATCAGATAACTAGTACAAGCACCTAGAAATGTTCATGGAAAACTACAAGGTTATTATGTCATCGAACAGGTAACTAAAACTTAACGAGCTCTCCTTGATCTTACATTTTTCTCAATTACTACAACCCCGTTTAGCACCCACATATTTGAGAGGAGCTCCTAAACGAAGTCCTTGCTAAAAACGCCAGTCCCCACTGATCTTGCCGTTGTAAATTCATTCAGTGCAAAGGAGCAAATAATTCATTTGTGCTTATTTCGTGTGCGGCGCTATGTGCAAGATAATCAACTTAATTCACGGCTCACTCTGAATGAGCTTATCATCTAAAGAGAATATAAAATAGAGGATACACTGGCATGAGAAATCACATCCAAATGTTGGGAATCAGGAAATGTTTCACTAAAGAGGTGTGGGGAAGAGTGAGTAGAATTCTGGGAGGTGGAGGTGGACAGAGAAGGAAGCGAAGCCCCGTGCTAACAGGAGCAGCAGCAATGGCTTGTACTAAAGGTTGGCCATGTGCTGGGAATACATGCTTTCACACATGTCACGTGACCTCCATGACAACAAGAGAGGTAAGCAGAGTGTCCCCACACTTCATAAAGGAATAAATGAAATGCCAAGTACCGGTCTCTGGTTTGTCTTGACTTTACAGCCTTTTCTACCAAGTCTGACTGTGAAGAGCTCTGTTTGATCAAAATTAAGAGTTGGGAAACTTTCCCTATAAGAGGCCATCTAGTAAATATTTCAGGCTTTGTGGCCGCATAGTCTCCATCCTAATGACTCAAACTCTGCCGCTGTCGTGTAAAAGCAGCCATAGGCACTACATAAAGGAATCGTGTGACGGGGTTCCAATAAAACTTTGTTTATAAAAACAAGTGGCTGGCTAGACATGGCTCACTTTACAGACCTGTGACCTGCATTAAGGTTATAAGAAAAAGATTACTGAGAGATGGAGCTACAAAAGCAGGTGGTAGTTACATGGGGAAACTCACATTTATTTTCACAAATATTATGGATATCAGAAGCCACTGGAGCAGAGGAGAACTAAAACTGTGCCTGAGGAAGATTAATGTAGAAAGTTCTAAATGGGATAGACTGGAGAGGTCAGAGAATGGAGGTTTGGAAAAATCGATAGTAGATCACTGAAGCTCACGACCTTGCCTTATACTTGACTAAGAAAACAGAAGGCATCAGACCTGATCTGCCTTATCTTCCCCCCAACAAATGTACACACTTACTTCCATTTTCCTGTTGAAATATAGGATGTGTCTTTCCTCTTACCAAAGACTGCTCTGTATGCCAGCACCACTGTTATGTTCATGTTCATTCTCTCTTTCTCTCTCTTGTGCTATCGGTCAGTCTGGGACTACTGGCTCACATCCATTAGCATACAAAAATGCTCTACTATTTCCCATTGACCCTGCATTTCCCTCCAGCTGCCAGCCCTTTTCCCTTCTCCTCTTAGTGACCAAAATTGGCAAAGGAATTTTCTACATTCATGCCTCAACTCTTTGCCCTCTGGCTTCTGCTCTTAACTTCCCCTGAAGCTACTCTTGTCAAGATCAAGGACACTCTCCACAAAGCCAAATCCATGGGATGCTTCTTTGAGCTCTCTCCTTGACCTCTGACCAGTACTTGGAATTCACGACCCAACTCTCTCCTGGTTCCCTTCCTCTTACCCTTCTAGCTGGTGGGGCTGAGGAAAGTTTCTTTGCCGCCAGCTCTTCCTCCCCTACCCTCAAAATGTAAGATGTTCTTCGGGTCAAACCCTGGGCTCTCTTCTCTTGCTACTCTGCTATCTAACAGGTGCTTTCACCAAGTCCCACAGACTGTAAATACCAATTCTGTGTTGTCGGGTTCTGAATGTATCTCCCTGGTTCAGACCTCTCTTCTGAACTTTAGGCTGGCATCTTCAACTGCCTCCTCCATATTTCTGCTTCAATGTTTTGCAGGTATCTCAAGCTTGATTTTTTTTCCCCTCAAGCTTGTCAACCATGCTCTTGCCTAGGAATCATTCTGGATTCTTCCCTTTCCTTCACCTCCATGTGTAAATTCAGCTAGTTCTAGGTCTCAAATGCACTTCCAATCGGCCCCCTTCTCTCCATCTTCACAGCAACCTGGACCACACACCATCCTCTCTTGTAATGGGCTCTTAAGTATGCTTCCTACCTTTAGTCTTTCCTCCCTACAATCCACACAGAGGCAAAAGTGAGCATCTTAAAATGTAAACTGGACTGGAGCACATCACTCCACTGATTAAAAACCTTTAATGACTTTCTATTGCACTTAAGAAAAACACTCAAACAGGCTTCTCACGGCCTATAAAATCATGAATACTTTTTTCACTCTTTTCTCCAACATCTTGTCTAGCCTTTTCCTGCACTCTCTAGCTCCAACAGTCTTCTTTCCTTTTCTTATAAACTGCCTCCAAACCTTTGACTCTATTATTTTCTTTGCCTAGAATGCACATAACCTCTCTCTTCATGTGGCTTTCTTATCCTTTATGTTTTAGTTTAAATGTCACCTTCTCAGCAAGGTCTTCCCTGACCTTCCTCCCTCCACGATAAACACTGAAGTCTGCAAGTAATTTAGAAGAGGTCCTGCTATATGTTAGATATAACTTGCAGAATACTTTTAAGACAGTTTCAGCAAACAGTCACAAAAAGATAAGGAATAGCTTTTCCTTTGGCTCTAGCTATAAAACTCTGTATATGTTCATATTCAGATCTCTTGAAGTGGGAAACAACTTCCTCCAAACCACAAACTTCTCTTTTCCTTGTACACACTGTTGCCAAACTCCACTTTTTCCATGTACAGGCCTGAAAGGTGTCAGTGACGCTTACCTCAAAGCAAAGCATAAAAAAGTTCTCTGTGAGATGCAAGGAACTGGCTCATTATCAGGGACGACTGGGCGGCTCCGTCGGTTAAGCCTCTGACTCTTGGTTTTGGCTCAGGTCATGACCTCAGGGTCCTGGGATCAGCATGGATCATATTTGAGATCCTCTCCCCCCACCCCTCCCCACACTCACACGCTCTCTCTCTCTCTCTCTCTTTCTCTCTCTCAAAATAAATAAAATAAACGTTTGGAAAAAATACAGTAAGAAACTGGCTCATGATCAAGGTTCTAGTTGTAGATAATATTCTATTCCCACGGTGCACAATTCTTGCTTTTACTACCTCAACTTTTGATCCCAAAGATACTAAAATTTATCTGTGCCACGGTTCTTAATCCCAGGTGCCCAGATCATCTTAATTCCAAACCTACTGTTTACTCTAATCTCTTGACCCTGGCTTCTTGTCCCGCCCCTTCTATTCAAGCATGTGCTCTGCAGTAACACATACACACTCTTAAGATACAAAAATGCCTGTAAACAAAATTCTTTACAAGAGGTATATAATAACTGAAGAGCTGGGATTACAATTTAAAATATAATGTGTATCTACAAGGCAGTGAGGTAGAAGTGTTAATAATAACCAACTATAAAGAGCTTCCTAGAAGTGCTAGGCTCAATGCTAAGTATTTTATATACCTTATCTCATTTAACCTCAATCACTCTAGAGGAGTATTATTATACCCACTTTAAAGACAGGAAAACTAAGAGTTAGAGGAATTAAGTAACTTTCCCAAAGTCATTCACATAGTTAATAAATGTCAGGGATGGCATCTGACCCCAGCTCTATTTAACTCCATGCCCCATGCTCTTTTTTTCTTTTTTGTCTTCTTTTTCTTGAGAGAGAGAGCACGCGTGTGCACGCATGCATACAGGTGGGGGCAGGGGAGGGTTAGGAGCAGAGGGAGAGGGAGAAAATCTTAAGAGGGCTCCATGCTGGGCAGAGCTCAATCCCACAACCCCAAGACCATGACCTGAACTGAAAGCAAGAGTTAGAAGCTTAACCAACTGAGCCACCCAAGTGCCTCCATATCCCATGTTCTTGACCCCTACGGCATACTGCCTAAATGCAAGACTTCACATAGGTCCAGAAGATCCACATTCAAATCTGACTCTCTTCATTTATAAGCTGAGTGACCTTGGCCAAGTCACTCAGTCTTTTCAAGCCTTGCTTCTCTCATCTACCAAAATGAAGAGTTTAGAACTCCCACGGATTTCACAGAGTTGCTTCGGGTTTAAAGGAGATAAGGTAAGAGAAGGTATTACATATGCTATGCATTGCTCTATAAAAATATGCTGCTATTGTTATGGGGTTTTTAGGGTCACTAGTGATGCTTTGTATTTATAAGAGTAATCTGGACTGGAACTCGAATGAGAGATGTCAGCCTCCAACTAGGAAGAAAACAATTTAATTTGCAAGAACATCCTAACATAAATATGACCCTAATAGGAATAAAAGGGACCCTTTTCCTGGGAGAAGACAGGGTATCAGCGGTTACCTGGTTCCGCTGGTTGCACGGGGTCCTCCTTTTCAAGTATCATTTTCCCTGGCCAATTACCTGCAGACATATAGAAAGGAACTGGGGTGGGGGAAAAGCTAACAGGTGGCACAGAAGTTCCTTCAATTGGAGGTAGTGTTCGTGTCATTTGAAAAGCATCAGGCGATCTCTCCTTAAAATAAACAGGTTAAATAAACTGTTACATGATATTATATGTTTAGTATTGACAGAAACTACCCCCCAGCTGCTAAAAATATTTAAGAGAGAGACTTCAAAGTTGCCCACTGTCCCACATTCATCTTTAAATTATCACCAAGGACGCAAAAATGTTTTGCTCTGTCATCTCTGTATCTAAGTTGCTCTAAATTGTTAATTTAGAAGCCCGTTTTTCACACGATGGGTAAAAGTGTATGTATATTCTCTCTGCTTTCCTTAGGAAACAAAAAACTAGTCATAAGACCTAAAAAACAATAACTACAAAATACTGCTATTTCTCAGTCTTTCCATATATACTTTTTCATAACCAAAAGCCAAACTTAACCTTTTTACTTCCAAGGGAATATGTTTTGGAACTTTAAGTAACTTTTTAAAAAAGGAGTCTCCTTTAAATATTATTTGGCATTTTCTTCTTGGTTTTTAAATACAAGTGCCACTGAAACAATAATTTTAAAGCAGAATGAGAACCTCTAAATTTAAGCAAGAAAGAACATTCCCTATCTTGAACTGCAGTCCTTATTTCTGTTTCCCACATTTCATTGTTTATAGTGTATACCCTTCCACGGCTCACGAGGTGTAACTAGAAGATAAAAAGCAAAGTAAAAGTCACTCCATATAGAGTTGAGAAAATAATTCAGCATTCAACCTGAAGTATGAAGATAGGCCTCTAAAAGGATGCTTTGTATCTTTGCTTTGTATCCACTCTCTATTAAGTCAAGGTTATCCATGATTATTTGAATTTTCTCACTTGTGTGTTGAACAGCTTAACTCTGAATCTGCTTTAAGTTTGTAGGCCTCCAACTCTAACCATTTTATTTAGTAAATCTATCTTAAAAGACCCTTTTTGGTTTAAAAAGAAAATGAATTTTTTCCCATTCTGTTTGCAGTGCCATGATATAGAACTGGCCACAAGCCTATACCCTCTCTCTTCGCCGCACACGTGCTGGTAGAGTTCTGTGCAGTACACTGCCTGAGCTCAGATCGCTGAGGAGCAGAGAAGGCGCTACAGGAAAGTAAGAATTGTTGATTTCTTCTAACTCCAATTCTTCTGTCCCGCCGGGTCGCGGAGTGGCAAAAACAAGTGTGTGGCATCCACCACAAGCCACCTGTAGCATAAAACCACAGATTTGATTAATCAACATTGGTTTCAAACACAAATGGGTTTTTAACAGTTTTCAGCTACAAAACATTTACTTAGTGGTAAACTTCCTAGGTAGTCAGCCATCTCCCCTCCTCCCAAATACATACACACACACACACACACACACACACACACAGGTGTCTTCTTTAAACACTACAATTGAAAATTAGAACAAGTTTACACACCATTTTCCTTCCAATTCTGTTTCTCCTCACAAACTTGAGAAAATGCTATTTTAATCTGAGAGTAACATGAACACCTTGAAAAAAAATCACCCAGAGAAGTTCTACTTGGAAAAAAAGTGATCCAAGAGGAAATCAACCTCTTGGGATAATTTTATCTCCAAACCTTTTTCTTTACATGAACACTTTTGAAGTTCAATGCTTTAAAGTCCTTAGAGCAAAATGTAACCATGCATGATGGTGGAACATGAAAATTAAACCAACATTCAAAGAATTTTGAGAAATAACTGATTTTCAATAAAATGCCTAAAAAACCATTGTGTAGTATTTGTAATACACAGATTTTTTTTAAGCAACCTTATAGTGTTCTTTACAGTGGTTATAAGAACGCATACTCTGAACCTTTCCTTCATAACATTGTGAAATTATTATTACTATTTTAAATAAGCCTCAGTAATATTTAATTCAACAAATATTTATAGGTGATTGTCAGATACTCTGCTGGCTGCTGGAGGAGACAACAAGCTTTCAGGCATGGCACAGTTCTGGTTCTCAAGAGACACAGGGGAGCAAAGCAGGAGAGTCAAGATTAGGGTGAAAAGGACAATGTTCAAAGGAGAATTAGGAAAGGGACAGATTTTCTGAGTGGCATGATGTCTGACATTTGGCTTTTAGGAAATGAGTATACTCATTAGATATAGCCATGATATTCATTCACACAGACATAAAAGTACCTATTTTCTATGAAATACTCTAAGACTCAAATATAGGAATATGACAATGTAAACAGGGAAATGTGATGTCCTTACCAATTGAACTATAAATCTCAAAAAATTGGAGCACAAAGTGGGAATGAACTGATTGGTAAAATTCTCCAGTCCAAGTCCTAATTTTCCATGTCGACCATCCCCAAAAGTATACATGAGACCCAAATCTAAAATGCAAAAAAAAGAGAGAATTATAAAGACTTACTTGTATGGACCTATTTGTAAATAAATATATTTACTTATTTCTTACGTTGCAATTATAATTTCCCCCTCAATTGCTGCACCAAGTTTACTCTGATCTATTGATATTTCCACACTCTCTATGGTCTCTGTGGTCCCGCACATAACACTAGGCAATAGATACTCTGAGAATAAATCACTAAGCCATTGGTGGTTTGTGAATTTGAAGCCCAGTCGTGTGAGGACTGTGTAGAACAGCAGCAACCCAGCATGAGCTATCTCTAGATACACACCATCTTCTCCGGGGGAAGAAGATTTTTGGAGTCTGACCCCCTATGTCCCGATACAATCTAGCGGAAAAACACTGAGGTCTCTCAACCTTGGCACCCCGGACATTTAGTGCCAGGTAATTCTCGGTTGTGTGGGTCTGTCCTGTGCCCTGCAGGATGTTCAGCAGCATCCTTGGCTCCTACCTACTAAATGTCCATAAAACGCCCTGCCTCTGCAGTTGGGACAATCAAAAAACGTCTCCACTGTTGTGCGTCCCGGGGCAACAAGATGGCCACTGGTGGAAAACTAGTGGCTTAGATCAATCCAACTGTCTCTTTCATCAGTTCAGCTCTGGGGCTGTGGAAGCTGCTGAGGGAAGTGCCGTAAATCGACCCCAGTGACTAGTCCCCATAGCAATGGCAAGGCCTCTACGGTCCACAATAATGTAAGGGGTCTTCCTCCTGCTCTCCAGTTCACCCCTCTGCTCACTGCCAGAGCAACTATTCCAAACCTTCAGTACTCTTCTCAGGCCCTCCTTCACACCCACTCTCTCAATTGGCGGAAAGTGACATGGAAGCAGAAGGAAGGAAAGGGGGCCAGGATGGTTGCCGAAGAGGGGGAGTTTCCTTCTGGTCTGGGGATTAGGGAAGGCTTTTAAACAGACCTGAAGGATGATTAGGATTTTAGCTGCAGGAAAACACATACAAATGCTTTGAATCAAGAGAGAACATAACACAGTCAAGAAACTGAAAGGCAACCAGTGTGCTTGGAGCACAAAGGGGACAGTGGTATGAGAGGAGTCTGAAGAGGTAGGAAAGAACCATACCACAGAGAACCCTGTTGGTTCATATTAAGAATTTCTGAACTCTATCTTAATGGCAATACATTGAACGAATGGTTTTAAGCCAGGAAATGGTAAGATCACATGTGGGAACTTCTAGTTTAAGATGGCAAAGTAATCTCATACTAAGAAAATCCAAGAGAACCAAAGGAAAAATGCTGAGAAATAATAACATAATTCAGTAAGTGTCAAGCTCAGAAGTTAATACAGAGGGGCGAATGGGTGACGTGGTCAGATAAGTGTTTGAGTCCTGGTTTCAGCTCAGGTTGTGATCGCAGAGTCAGATGAGATTAAGCCCTGTGTTGGGCCCTGTGCTCAGCATGGAGTCTGCTTCAGATTCTCTCTCCCTCTGCCCCTCCTGCTTGTGCACTTGTTCCCTCTCACTCACCGCTCTTTCTCAAATAAATAAAACTTTAAAAAAAACTAATAGGCAGAAAAGATCCCCTATTAATAAACAATAACCAGTATTTAACCCCCAAATTTAGACTCTTAGAATTCTTATCATCAGCTACTTATTTCCCTTCTTTATATACATTCCTTATCATTCTTTTCTCTTCTTCTTCCTCTTTTGACCCTTGATTTCTTTACCCAAAGTGCTAATTTTTAGGCTTTGTGTTTTAACTTGATTATCTTTAGCCAGAAAAGATAAACTCTGATCCAAGCTACCTGATTGCACTTCCAACTTGAAAACTTTTGTAAACCACGAGTCACTGGCTACATAATGCGGAACTGGTAAGAACTTACAGATAACTCACTACACACCTCTCATTAGTCCTGGAAAAAAATTCATAACACCTTTCTCCTGAGGAAGCTTTATGAGCAAAAAGCAAGCAAAAATAATGTTCAATTGTTTGTGCTATAAGTTCTTTCATCAGGGGAAATAGTAGTATGAAAGTTTAACCAAATAATCTAATTGTGTGTTAGATGAGCCATAAAAAGTATGTATTTCCTATCAATGGCAATTTAGGGTTGATGAAAAACAGCAGTTTAAGGACAGTGAATTGACATTAGGACCTTGCAGTAAGGGATACATATCAACAATTCTTCTGGGACTATGAATGAATAATAATTCTTTACATTCTATATAGTTCTATTTCATGCTATATTAACATGGACATTGACACTTGAAAATGGGCAGGTAGTTCTCTCTGAAAGGCTCTTTGGGGAAGGAGGAAGAGTGTATGGTAGTATACATTGTATTTGTGGGTTACTAGTTGCCCCAACTAGATACCATTAGATGAGTTCCATTTAGCAGTAGCTTTTTTAGAAAGAAGGAAACAAATGGAGAAATATCAGTATCTCGTTTATTTCAAAATACTCTATGATTTCTGCCTTTTTAATGCTTTACTTCATTTGCAGATAGAAACGTGAGATAGAAATAGTGAATTACAGGGGCTTTTGTTCCAAAGCAATCACAACTGTGGAGTCTATCAATTACCTACAGGGAAGTGAGTTATTTCTAGAGGAGACTCTTTACTGAGTCCATATTAGCAGCACCTAGTTTTTGAGGTTGAGAAGTAGGCCCAAAGCAGTGTCTCCCTGGATAAAGAAGAAAGTACAGAGTAAAGGGTCTAGGGGAGCCAGGTATCTGCCTAGTGCCCTTTGAGGTGCCTTTCTATCCCTGCGGAGGAAGTAGCGAAGAGTCACTCCTAAAAACGCCTCCTAGCGGCAAAAGCTTCACAGGCATTAACTCAGCCTGTACGTAACTGGGTCAGACTGAACATGGAGAACGTTTTAAAAGTTCTTTCCTGTAAGACTTTTCCCTCTGGCCTGAGCAGAGTTAAGAGCCTTCAAACTGATGCAATTTCAAAAAGATTCCAGCCTTCTGCCAAAGTATAATATTATGATATTACCTCTGACAGCACTGACTTGTTTTGAGGTTCTAATCTTTGGATCACTTGAAATTTGAACTAAACTAACTGATTTGAAATTGAACTAAAATATTAAAAAAGAGTTTACGATTTTACACTTTGGCATATTAAACAAGAACTTCCATTTTCTCAGTCACTGATTCCTTTGCTTACGCTAGATACATTCATTCCACAGAGTTTGTATTTCGTAGTAAAACATACCCCATTCTAGATATACGTAACAGAAATTCTCATCTGTACCTGTTATCAGAGCTGTGTGATTTTCTCCACAGGAAATAGAACTTATTTTCTGATCTGTAATATGCTCAATGACTTTGGGTACTGAAGTTTCAAAAAGAAAGGTACCAAGACCCAGCTGACCAAACTGTCCGAGCCCAAAGGTATACACGGCTCTCTCTGAAAAGGAATAAGCAAATATGAGAAAAAGATTGCAGGGAAGCAGAAACTGTCACCGTCATATCTAGAAAACTGTGACATTCAAACTTTCATAATGAAAGTTAGGTGCCTCTGAAATATCCGTGTAAGAATACCGAATACTTAGGTACACGTTCTCAATGATGAAGGAGAAGAAAAAAGTTAGGGCATGGGCCTGATTTTACCTTTTACATATAACCATAAAAGAGTTCCTAAAGACACATCAGTCAGTGAACTACCTAACATGTCCCTATAATTACCACTTAGCTCTTTAAAAATAGCATCAGTTGTCATTAAGCTAATTCCTTTCATTGCCTTAAAAGGTGGAGGGGGCAGTGGGGCACCTGGGTGGCTCAGTCGTTAAGCGTCTGCCCCTCAGGTCATGATCCCAGAGTCCTAGGATCCAGGATCCCTGTTCAAGTGGGAAGCCTGCTTCTCCTTCTCCCACTTCCCCTGCTTGTGTTCCCTCTCTCGATATGTGTGTGTGTGTGTGTGTGTGTGTCAAATACATGAATAAAATCTAAAACAAACAAACAAACAGAGTAGTGTTTCCTACAGAAAAACTCCTACTTCTCAAAAATAGTTTAACAGAACAATCTATTTTGTAAAACAATTTCAGAGGAGAATTTGCATGAGAATTGAAACTCACTGTAGATATGCTTGATTAACTCACAGGTAAAGCTCTTTTACTAAGAAGTGCCGTAATAATGAAAGGGGGACAAAAGCTTTTCCTTGATATTAACGTTTTTTAAGTGACTCCAAAGGACCTCCAATAACTTATTAAACATTAGCTCACATGTTCTCGAGAGATGGAAAAGCACAAAAACAGGATAAGTGAGTGGTGATGAAAGGGTCCCTTTAGACACACAACTCTGGCTGGCCCTGAGTCAGGAAGCACGGTCTCTTCTCCAAAGCCCGACACATCACCTTTCTATGCTACAGAAGGAAGAGGAAGAGCTTTGGTTTCGGGGAGGAGTCCACACCTCCATTATTACTAGAGGGGGAAAGCAGGCCTGTTACCTAAACTCTCTGATGTTATAATTCCTCTCTAACAGAGTTGCTGGGAGGCTTACATGAAAAAACATTCAGGCAGATTTTAACACACACTAGGACATTTTGTTTTAAGAACATTTCTCTAAAAACTAACTAATCAACTCATCTCATTTCTGACAGTGGAGAATCCCGATGAACACATAACTATCTACTGTCATATGGTTTTACATTCTTCCTATCTAATAACACTTCACAAATAAGACAGAGAGCTCATACCTCTTAAAGAAAACAGGCTGTGTCAAGGATATGAAGCCACACTGAGGCTATGGCAAAACATCCTTATTTTTTTTTAAAGATTTTATTTATTTATTTGACAGACAGAGATCACAAGTAGGCAGAGAGGCAGGCAGAGAGAGAGAGGAGGAAGCAGGTTCCCTGCTGAGCAGAGAGCCCGATTTAGGGCTCCATCCCAGGACCCTGGGATCATGACCTGAGCCGAAGGCAGAGGCTTTAACCCACTGAGCCACCCAGGCGCCCCAAAAACATCCTTATTTTAATGTAAAAATTAGTTTAATAACCGCATGGCATGTCACCAGTTCTGAATGTCGGGTGAACAGCAGAATGCTGGGTAAATGAAAACAAGTGTCCACCTCTAGCTGGCCAATGACCACTTTAGGTTACGTGGGCTGAGATGAGCCTGTGAAATGAGGCCATTTAGACAGCCTGAATCACGTGATAAAAGTTTTGCTCCTTACCCTGTTGGGTTTGCTTTCAGGTACTTGGCTGATCAGCAGCAATGACACTTTTAAAAGATGTTTTAATTATTTTTATTAACACATAATGTATTATTTGCCCCAGGGATACAGGTCTGTGAATCGTCAGGCTTACCCATTTCACAGCACTCACCATATCACATGCCCTCCCCAATGTCCATAACCCCACCACACTCTCCATACCCCCCTCCCCCCAGCAACCCTCAGTTTGTTTTGTCAGATTAAGAGTCTCATTCTTTGTCTCCCCTCTTTTTTTTTTAATTACCTAACACTCCTTTTTTTTTTAAACATGTAACAACTAATATAATTTTTGGTCTTATCATCTTTTTAACATTTAACAATGTAATTCGATGCTGACAAATGATACCCTATTAGGAAAACAGGTTTTAGTAGGCGGCTTCATATGAATACTACTCTGGTTTCTCAGAATACATTTGATTTCATGAACAGTAACTTGTTGCCCTGTAGAGATCATGAGTTTGTCCATATATAATCTAGAGGGGAGCCTGGGTGGCTCAGTGGGTTAAAGCCTCTGCCTTCAGCTCAGGTCATGATCCCAAACTCCTGAGATCAAGCCCCGCTTTGGGCTCTCTGCTCAGCAGGGAGACTGCTTCCCCCCCACCTCTCTCTCTGCCTACTTGTGATCTCGGTCTGTCAAATAAATAAAAAAATAAAATCTTTAAAAATATATATAATCTAGAGAAGGTAAGTTCTTATTTTTCCTTGAGATCCAGACTTCGTTGTGGACCCTATCTTACAACCAGGACTTTCTTGGCTTTTGCTAACGCTGACGAAGACATACAAGATTACATCTATCACTCTGCCTCACTTACCCTTTCTCAGCAGTCCATTGTTTCCCCGATTCAAAGGAGAAACTAATCATAGCATCGCCACAACCAGTAGTTTAATTTTCTCACCTCTTATGGTCACATGGAGTATTACATTTTAAATAAATTCACTGGCAATGAACTAATTTAAATTATCTTTGAAGTATTTTTATGAATGGTACCCAGAAAGATTTTAAGATCAGAGTTATAGACAAAAGGAAAAACAATGCTAGGGAAGGCCCCCCATAAAATCATCTTATTCAAACCCTTTCCTTTGGTGAAGGGAAAGATCTAGAACAGATGGTTAACTATTCTTTTCTTTCATTTAAGGTCTTCAAAGTATCCTATAAACTCTTAGGTATTCCGTTTAGTACTTAGTCAAACTAATAATCAGTATGTGCTTCAGGTCCATTTCTTCATCAGTTAGGACTAACTATTATATCCATACTGTACTCCAGAATACAGCTTTCTCACCAGGGCTGGCTCGTAATAAAGCTCTCACAGGTCCATGGGGAAATGTGAAAAAATAGGCAAAACAGTAAATTTTCCATAGAGATAAGTGAATATAATTTAAGAGGGTGTCTTTTACAATAAAAGTGAGAGCTCCTTAATTTTTATTTTGAAATGCCCCTTTATTTATGATATAATGGTGAAAAGGTTGCATTTGGCCTGCAATGCCCTCATTTAGTCAAATGCAAATCAGAAGATCAAAACCATCTGTTGGTCTTCATATTTGTGTCACAAGATTAAAAAACTTAAAATACAATAACTTTACTGGTCTGTGAGATCCCAAAGTCTGCAAAAATCTGGAGAGAATAATTTCTGGCAACATAGTTTTTAACCTCAAAATTAAGTCCACAGAAAGCTAAACGTCTATAATATTGCAAAAAAAAAAAAAAGCCCCCACACTTCTGTGTATTTAAACTTCTAAGCATAATTAAAAGTATCATGGATTATCTGGGTGCCTATATAGTTGAGATGTTATTTTTATATAATCGACATTTGTGTTCTTTAGAATAACCTTCAGTCACCTAATAAATAATGTTTGTTTGAACTAGAGAAATTATAGAACACATAAAGAATAAGTTGAACTTCTGCCTACAGAATGCATTTTCAGATAATTTATAAAGATTAATTTCTAAGTTTAATTCCTAAAATAAATCTTCTCAAAAATATATGAAAATCCATTTTGTTAACAGAAATTCAAAGAAATCTTAAACCTCAGAATTATTTCCAAATATAGAATGGAGGCCTTGGAAAAAAATTATTTCTAACTTGGAAACAGATTCCATCTGGGAATTGTAATTCTGGGAAATCACCACTTAAAAAGCATGACTTGGACTAGAACAAAAAGTCAAGGAAAAGCGATGTAAGAGAGGAAAATCAAAAGATAAAATATCGCACAATCACCTAGCAACATTAAGCATATCATCTGAGAACTGGGTATTATTCAAAATTTGCCTACAACACTGCTAACTTTGGGTTACTGAAGATTAAGCGGTGACTTCAGAAACTTGTTAATTTCTTTCGGACCAAAAAAAATCTAACAATTCACTAGCTGTATTCCCTGTACGCTACTCAAGTTAATGCCGAACAAATCTGGAGGCAGCGATTCAGTAAGCATGTTATCAAGTAGTGTGCATATCTTACCAGATTGACTGGAACCCTGAAAAATGACATGTCATACCAAATATAACATTCAGAAGTCAAAACTGACATTGCTAATAAGGTTCTAACTTTCTTTTATTATCTGTAATTTAAAATCTTAACACTTTTTGCTGAATTACTATAATAGAACACAAAAATGCAAAAGAAATTACCAAGTTTTATATTCTTAACATAAGAGAAGAATTATCAATGACATGTAGAAAATAGCATGAACAGGGGAAAGAAGGTATTTCAGGAAAAATTATACCAATTTTAGAGAAATACAAAACACACACACACACACACACACACACGAGGAAAACAGTCTACCCTTGAAAACAAGCTAAAAACAATTATCTTCTGCCAATAAACATGTGAAGATCATGAAAATGTCCATTATATTGGCAAAAACAATTCCACAAGATTTATTTTTTTCTACTTACAGTTTTCTTCCATAGGCCAAAGATGTGTAGTAACTATGGAAATCAAAGCTAGAGATTTTAATGAAAAGAGATGCAAGGCCAGCTTGTAAGCTCCTAGAAGCACAGACTAGGATGGTGGCGCCAGGGGCTGGGAGGGGGAAAAGGGTGCCCCTCATCAATGGGTATAAGGTTTCAGCTTTGCAAGGTAAGGTCTAGAGGTCTGCTGTACAACACAGTGCCTATAGATAACAATAGTGTATTAAAGACTTAAAAATCTGTGAGGAGATTGGATCAGATGTTAAGTATTTTATCCCAAAAGAAGAAAATGAGTGTAATTTTTTTTTTTTTTAGTAGCCACCCCAGAAAGCAGGGAATGGAGCAGCAGGAGCCACACATACCTGTGAGAACCACGGTGTGCCCTCCACCACAAGCTACTTGGACCACCTTTTCAGGAATTCCAGGCACTGGCTGGGGCATTCTGTGATTGACCAGCAGCTGATTGGGAAGACCTAACTTCCCAGACTCTGGTTCTCCAAATGTGTACAGTTCTCCCTCCGCTGTTGAAGGAAAAGAACAATGATCAAGGACGGCATAATTATGGACAAAATACTAGTGTTTGGGGTACACATTCTCATGTTCAATAAAAAATTTAGAAAATGACAACTTGATCAGTTTACACTTCCTTAAGGTATTTTTACTGGATGGTAAGGAAATAAAGCTAAGATTTTCTTTTCTCCTTGATTATGCTAATCCAATTTCTTTATGAATTCACGACCATCGCTACAAATGAAGTAGAAAATGATTTTAGCTGTTTCACATAGAAACCATCTTACTTCTTCTACTTCCTTTTACAGTAAAGCAAAAATGACTAGACACTAAGCCTCCATTAGGACATGGATTTTGTCTTGTTCACTTGGGTATTCCAAGAACCTAGCAATGTCTGGTATACGAAATATTCATGAATGCTTGTTAAATAAATAATTGCTTTTATGAAACTGGTTTTAAGGAAATGCATTTCTGTGTGAATATGTTGACTGAGCCTTAAAATAGAAGATTTTGCTCAATTCAATGGCACTTCCTCCAGATTCTCTTTTATCAAGGAACTCGTGACGTTTAATCACTGTCTTGTCCATACCAACACTACTAACTTGCTGTCTTATTATACTTATCACACTACGACTATGAGCTTCTTGAAAGCAGGAACTTCTTAGAATTCATTTCTATGAACTGAATGGAGTTCTACAAGCAAGAATTTAAAAACCTTTGTAGATATATAACCTAATCTGACACAGAACCTGTCGCCATTCATGTCAGGAGAGAGGTAACACAGTAAATCTGGTTGTTTATTATGTATTTATTTGCGTGTCTCTAAGAGAACAATGATTGGTCACTGACCAACCCCTGGGAATGTGGCCCTTGGAGTGTTATGTTAGTGACTGATGATTTTGTTTTGTAACCCAAACAGCAAATTACGCCAACTGAGGTCCTTAGGGTTGCTTTGAACAACCATCAACACTGATGATGTACACTTGGTTTCATTGTTAAGGGATCAGAGTTTCAGTCGCGGTGAGTAGTTGCTAGCAGGGTGTGCCTACACAATCAGCACTCCCACACAGAAGCCCAAGACCCTGAGAAGAGTGGGCTTCTCTGGGCAGGGACATTACGCACACATCCCTGTAGTTCAAAGCATGTCTTGTGCCGCAAAGAGTAAGGACTAGGAAGTGTATGTGAGACTACCCTGGAGGACATAGATCTCCTTCCAGCCGTTTTTGCTCTGTATCCTTTGCTGTGATAAATCTTAGCTGTGAGTAGAATTCAAGCTATTGCAGCTTGAGAGTTCTCCTAGCAAAACAGAACTTAGGGAGGTTGTGGAACATCCAACACACATAGTATGCACCACTGAAAACTTGGTCAAATACTACAAACCCAGCCCTACTGATTTTCTGGAGTGCTCTGCACAGAAAATGAAATTTTTTGAAGCACAGCTTTCTAAAAAGTATTTAGCACCGGCACCAAAATGCTCTTCTGGCTCCCTTCCTCTTTTTCCCATGCCTCTTGCCTCTGATATGAAAGGAGCTACTAGGTCCAGATGAGTTACTTTCCACTTTTGTCTATAAATTCCTGCTGCTCCTCACACCTTAACATGGGTGAATTGTATGGTATGTGAGCTATATATGTCAATAAAGCTGGTTTTGTGTATGTTTTTTTTTTAATTTTTAAAATTTTAATTTTAATATTAGTTTCAGGTATACTATATAGTGAGTCAACACTTCCATACACCACCAGGTACTCATCATGACAAGTGCCCTCCTTAATCCCCTTCACCTATTTCACCCATCCCACCTACCTGCCCCCAACCATCAGATTATTCTCCACAGTTAAGAGTCTGATTCTTAATTTCTCTTTTTCCCCTTTGCTCGTTTGTCTTCTTTCTTAAATTCCACCCCATAAAGCTGTTTTTTTTTAAAGGCATAAATATAAACAAAACAAAAAAGCCCCATGTAATGCCTGTTGGCTACAATGAGCAATTCCTTGTTTTCTTACTGGCTGAAAATAGAGTTTAGTCATAAAATTGAATTTGTCAGTTTTGCTAAAATCTAAATAAGACAATGCTCTTGCTTGGGATTTTTGTGTTTTTCCGTTTGTGTTTTTTGTCTCATAAACAAAGTGAGCACTATACCAACCCCAGGAGCCAGAAAGTTGCCAGTAAGTTGGTAGGTAGCACTGCCCCAAGGAACACAGTTAATTGTTCATTCACTTATTCCCTCATTTGATGATATTTATTATTAGTTTGTCCAAGATACAAGCTGATAGAGTGGCAAACAATGGCAGCTGAGTCAGAGTTTGCCCTCTCTTGGTACCATGGTGCTACCAATTCACCGGTAAATCTGAGGGCCACAGGAATGGGTCAGTCAGCACTTTCTAAATCTGAATCTGAGGAGCACAGAATGTATAACAAAGACTTAGAGATCTCTAAAAGGGGCCAGAAAACTATTTCCTCTAGGTGTTTTTGCTGTTTAAAAAAAAAACCATCAATAAGATGGAATGATCATACTTCTACCACTCTCTGTGTAGACACAGACTCTAACATTTCAAATATTTAACTAAGGCAGATAAAGGTTGCCAGGGAGCCCCAGAAAGGGAGAGATTGGGGATGCTAAGCAAAGTTCGGCAAAGGAAATCCTGTCTCATACTGAGCAATCTTCCCTTTCCACCTACTCTACATCCCTGCTCTCACAATGGAAGTCTATGACTCCCTTACTGAACCAATAAAAGCAAATTAGCAGGACAAGAGTAGACGAGGTCTAAGTACAGAGGCAAGTGCACCCAAGGGAAAGTGGCCCATAGATCTCACTTCCAACGTCAAGCAATCCAAGAAGTTGAGAACCAAGGTTTAGAAGTTTCTAACATACACATTTTGCTTTTCTAATATTCACTAAAAAAGTTAACATCTCAGAGAAAGTAAACTCTCATTATTAAAATGGAGAAAACAATGTGACCCAAAATGGACCACAATTATTTCATTACAGACTGCCATGGCATTATTTCCATAGTATGGTAGAGAGTTAGATTTTATTATCAATTGAGTAAACACTTAGAAATAGGAGGTAACATGATGAATCCAAAATGTTGTCTTACTTGTTACAAAAGCTGAATGGTAATATCCACAGGAGATCCAGGAGATAGGTTTCCCAACGGTCACTTGTTGAGGGACACACACATTAGTTATATTTTTTAAACCAATTTGCCCTTCGGAATTGTCACCCCACATAAAAAGCTCTCCATCCTCTACAAAGAAAACACAAGGAGGAAAACAAGGTTTTAGGAGGTAGCAAGGCTATCAAGTTATTATATTTTCCAACACAGCACTTATTCTTTAATTCAGAAAAACTATGTGTCTTGATAGAAAAGTGCTACTAAGACATTCACACCAGCTAGCTGCATAAGAGTTTAATTTCTAACAGGAAAGGCTTCTAGGATGATAAAGGACAGAGGATAACATGATGCAAATTGTGTCCATATTTTTATCTCAACAGCAAAGACAGAATATTCTTCCCTTTTCTTAGTCTACTGTCTCCAAACAGCAAATGTTTCTTCCTCTCAAGCACTCAGACTGCAAACAAACTGAACGACAGCATGGGCAGCCCGGGACCTTTCCTGGGCAAGTCCCTGGTCAAAAGGGCCTGGAGGACCTTACTCTTAAGAACACTATATAAACGTTTTAATGTTTTGAAGAAAAACTAAAAAGAAAAAGAAATGCAGTTCAGGGTTTTTTTTGTTGTTGTTGTTCTTGTTGTTTTACAATTTATCCTTGAAAACACACACTGCAACCTCAGAGATTAGGGAACCACCTGAGCACACAGAGCATCTCCAGAATGCAGCAGCTTGTGCTCTTTCTGATTAGGGTTTCAAGGGAAGAAGAAGTGAAGCTAGGCAAAATATTTTAGGAAGGAAATTATCAAGACTTACGTCTTTTAATTCATTTAAATTTTTTAAAACTTTGAAGTGGTTTAATAATAAGCCAAATGAAAGGAAAACGGAAAATCAGAACCACGAGGACATTGAGAGGCTAAAGACGGTGGACCGTACTGCAGGCATGGGGCCGCCATGTGACTCCAGCCCTCCTGGCAGCTGGAGCGGCGGCGCCAGGGGCCACTCAGCTCCCCTACTGGAGCAGAGAAGCCCACTGTAGCTCCAAGGTACACACCCTGGGTACCTTGGCTCCCATGTTAAAGACATTTCTCATATGGGCTTAGAGAGGGAGGGCAGAGAGATGCAATGACCAATAGAGACTGTGTAATTTATTTTGTTTTTTAAAGTGTATTTATTTAAGTAACCTCTATGCCCAAGGTGGGGCTCAAACTCACAACCCAAGATCAGCCACGTACTCTTCCGATTGAGCCAGCCAGGCACCCCCCAGACCATATTCTGGTAACACATATCCAACCGATTTCTGTTTCTGACAGCAACTTATTAGAGCTGCAAATATAATGTCCAGAACACAGGATGAATATTTAGTATCTACAGGAGTAGATGGAAGCATGGCAGCTACGTGTGTGTTTATGTCTAACCCCAGATAAGCACAAAACTGGGGTTAGACGTAATGATTCAAAGTTCAATTTTTATGTCTTCTGAAAACACATGGTTAATGAAAGAAAACGAAACAGAACACTGGGGTCAGATGACTCAGTTGGCTTATCCTGGTCTAAAGAAAAGGGACGGTTCCCAGCCTGATGTGGAACAAAGTCTCACCAGTTAGTGCAGCTGAAGTGTTGGATCCAGCAGAGAGCTGTTTAATCTTTCGCTGGGAAGTAAAAAAACTAATTAGATGAAAAGAGTTTCTCTCGTCAGTGTCACCAAGTCCCAGCTGTCCTTCATTATTTCCTCCAGCTGCATATACTTTGCCTTCTTCTGCACATGGAAAAGGAAAGAAACATCCATATCCTACAGTCACCATCTTTACAAGACAGGCCAGTTTCCAGATATTTCCTCTATTAACAGTGAAGAAAGCCGAAAGTTGACATTATCCTACCATTTGGTGAACAACTTCAATTCGTTGTCAAAAATCAAGCAAAACAAGCAAGGTTATACATTTTTGTGAGATTTTCTAAATTGGTCTAGAGCTTAAGTAGCAATTGAAATGCACAGAACGTGCAGAATGTATTTCCTTGCTTTATTAAATCAAAGCAAAAAGAGAAAAGTAATTTCCAAATTAGTTTATAATCCAAATCAAACTATTTTAAAAGAGATGTGGTTCATTAATTTTAACTTCCATACCCATTAAAGTTGAGATATAATATGTAATGAGTAAAATGAGGCAAATCCAAAAAGAATATAATTAGAAACATGAAAATTCTATGTGTATTTTAATTTTCTAGCTAAACAAGAAAGCAGTATAGTATTGTGTTTTAGGAGAAAGGACTGGAGAGCCAGAGTTCCTGGGTGTGAATGCTGGCCTGCCATTCGTCAGGTGTGTGACCTAGGCAAGCTGTGCTTCACAGGGGCTTTCATTTTACTCATCTGCAAAATGGGGATAAGAATAGTGCCTACTTCACAGAGCTGTTTATGAAGATCACATTAGTCTACGGCCATACCACCCTGAACGCGCCTGATCACGTATGAAGATCCCATTAGCTGACATTTATAAAATTCTTAGAACGGCATTTGTTTGTTGTACACATTATATAAATGTGTGTTAATTACTTTATTAATTAAATATGAAGTATATCATGCCTAGATAATAAAAATCATCAGTAAGCTCAAAAGTAATGAAGATTTTTAAAAACACACATATTAAAAATTAGTTATATCTGTCATACAGATGCACACGAAGTTAAAGCCTCACTAAATTATAGGGGAAACTGTGAGCAAAACCAGCCCGAGTCAGTAAAAATTTAAGATATTATTTTAGAAAAGATGAAATCTAATTGAGGAACCAAGACTAGCTTTCCAATGGAACATATGACAAGGCCATGGAATTTAACACATATCGGGTGAACCAGAGTTGGTGGAATGCTTAAGCAGTTCAGAGGATGACATGAGTCAAAGTTGAAGAGCCACAGAAAGATCCATGGAAGAAGACTTACACTGGATCTTAAAAGACAAGAATCTGAATAAGAGAAAGACATTTTAGCAAGGCAAAGGTATGAATGAGGGGAAAGGGCCAAGGAGGAGCCAGAGGCGATGAGAATAACCTGAACACAGAAGAGGCTATGGGGGCAGGCGGCAGGGGGTGGGGGGAAGGAGGTAGGAAAGGTAGCTCGGTGATCAGCGCCTGGATGTCCATTTGTTCCAGGAGCATTTGTTGAAAAGACTACCTTTTTTCCATTGAATTGCCTTGGCACTTTTGCCAAACATTAGTTGGGCATATATGTGTGGGTCTACTTCTGGACTCTGTTTTGTTCTGATAATCTTTGTCTCTCTTTTTGCCAGTAGCCCGATGTCTTGATTACTGTGGCTTTAGAGGTCTTGAAATCAGTAGTGGTGGTCCTCTGCTTTTGTTTTATTCAAAACCGTTTTGGCTATTCTGGGTCTTGTGCTTTTCCATACGAACTTTAAAAGCACCTTGTGAGTTTCTACACACAGACATACACAGCCCATTTGGATTTTAATCAGAACTGTGTTCACATCAATAGCCTTTTGGGGGCAGGTCCCACTCACCCTCAGAAAAGAGGAAAGCACAAGATCAGGAGCGGGCGGCCCCCGAGGTGTACACATAGGTAAGGATGGGCTGCCCCTTGACATAATCCAAGATTTTCTTCAGGCATGTAACATTTATCTATGTATTTTCAAAGGCAAACAAGTGTGCTAACCATTTATATTTTAAAAAATCCTAATCTTATTATTGCCAAGGTACCATTTCTATTAATTTTATAAAGCCATACTGGAGTGAGAACACTGTCCTCAAATTGGGAAGGAAGTCACACAGATTGAATACTATACCTGTTGAAACTAGGGTGTGGTTCCGTCCACAGGCAGCAAATTTCACTTTTTCAGGTTTTAAAGCTAAAAATATTTAAAAAAATGACAAAAGATTTTATGTTTACAACAGTGATAAATAACACAGGTCAAATGGTAACTAACCAGTAGAAACGAGATTTTAAACCCAAGCCCGTCTGACTCCAAAGTTGTTCTTAATTAATAAGCCAAAAGTTTTCAGAACTAGCTGTGCATCATAATGACCAGTGGAGCTTTGAGAAAAGTACAGATAGCTCAGCCCTACCCCTGGAGAATCTGAGTCAGCAGGTCTGAGGTAAGGCCTAGGCATCTAAGTGTTTTTAAAATGTCCACAGGTAATGAATATGTACTGAGATTCATGGCACTGTTACGCTGCCTCCTCACCAAACTAATCACCTAGTCCCTAATCTGCTATCGCCATTGTCAAGCTCACCTTCTATCTCACACAGTGAAACACTACAAGTCCAAGAGTCACAGGTATAACCTATGGTAAAGCTCTTCACTCATTCATTTACATGTTCAAAAGAGATTTAAAGAACACTGCCTACGTGCTTACCATAGAGGCTGCAAAAATCACTAAGACAGAGTCTCTGGTGTCAAAGATCTCATAGTCTAGACAATCCTGTTACTTCATCTATTAGATATTTGAGAGTAAAGATCATGTGAATAAACCCAGGGTTTAAAAAAAAACAAAACAGGGTTTAGTAGATTGTGCTCAATAAATACTTTTTGACCAAGTGGAATACTTTGAAAATTCCATAACATTATCTGTAAATAGCATGGATATGCTAAACTACACTGACATTTTGAGCTGAAATTACAAATTTGGCTAGGAAGATTAAGAATATTGCTCTTGTCACATCCCAAGGAATCTCCATCACCTGTTCACAGGTTACAGCCAAACAGAAGCTTTACACATAATGCCAGGAAAGCTCTGTAAAGGTATTATATATCCCATATTTTCTGGGACAGTCCTGATTTAAAATATTTTGTCCTGTTCTTGTAAGGACACTACTAATCAACCCCAGGGCCCAATGTCTCATTCAGTACATCTACTCACTATATACAGCAGGGTCAAGTATAATTCATAAAGCCAACAGCTACCTAGAACCATGATGCCCACAACTTTAACAAATGAGACAAAGCTCAAAATTCTTATATATTGTATTGGTTAGTCTTTGTATATACAATAACAGTAATATTTATGCAGGTTAACAAACAGGCAAAATAAAAGGATATTCAAGTGTAATACCGAAAAATCATTACTTCCTTTGTGTTCTTTGGGTTTAAAAGCAATGTGACTTTTAGACCCTAACACATAAAAGTAGTTCTGATTATCATATAAAAAATAAAGTCAGACACCAATAATAGTCAAGTAAATAATGGAAAATAAAGAACTAAGGCTTTTTTATTCCTAATATAATATTAAAGAACATCACAATCAATACAAAAGTACTTTATGAGGTTTAAGTATTTAAAGCAATAAAGAAGAAAAGACCCCAAACCTTTGACACACGTTGGCTTGTTAATAGTTGACTTTGATCCTAATCCTAACTGGCCCCAGTTGTTACTGCCAAACATGTAAAGTTTATTATTTCCTGGTGGGAAGGAAAAAGACATAAGAAATCGAAGCATTTTCAACATAAAGTGATGAGAGACGAAGTCATCACAAAGCAATAAAAAAGGCTACACTTAAAAGTTGTATTGCTTTCCCGTGTTGAAACAGGTTACCTTGCCCAGGTTAAAATGAATTATTTTAGCTGTCCATTACAGGTTACCAGATTCTGTTAGGTGTAAAAAGTTTCTAAGATTATGCATTAATCACGTTTGATTATATAGATATATTAAAATAAATTTATTCCAAGAAAGTAGCATTTATACAAAATCCTATTTAAATATGCCAAGGGGATTTAAAATTTAAAACACTCTCTTGATGCAACACATTATCAAGAAATCTCTGATGAAAGAAAGAAAAAACATTATTCTGGTAAAGGAAAGTATATTCAACATGTTTGAAACACGGCACATCTATAATATCTAGGATTCTTCCAGGATTACCATCCTCACTTAGGATTTCAGTACTAACCTGTAACAATAGCAGTATGTTCATCTCCACATGAAAGAAATGTAGGTATGTCATTTTTAAACCAAAATTTGCTGGGAATATTTTCAGCAAATTTAGTTTTTCCAAATGTAAACACAGCACCCGAACCTGCAAATATACGATAGTTTCTATTTTACAACTTTTACTATGTCGTCTGTTACCAAAATATTTTTTTCGGTAATTTATCTGTACAGATTCCTTGTCTCATGACAAGGAGACTTCCTTGTCTGCTTCCACTCTAGCACTGTTTACATCCTCCTTCTACCTTAATTCAGTCTTACTCCTCAGACTTTATTCTGGTTTTATTTATGAAATCTACTAAATAGGTATTATTCATTTATTGGAGGAAAGTAAGAAAAAAAAAAAAAGGTAAGGCAGTCCTCCATTACTGAAAGTACACACACATCTGCTCCCTGGAATGAGCTGATTGATAACAATCCTGCCCTATTAACACTGGTTAACAACACCTCATGGTCTAGCCTGATTGAAGGCTTCTCTCCACATACGGGACTAGGACAGTATTGAGTTTCGTTATTAGCATCATGTCCATAGAGCATGCTGAGATTTAACACTCTTAAGTCATTAAACACTACCTGATCTGAGTAGTATTCACAAACTATTTTGGTCCAGTACCATTTTAGAGAGAGACCAAAAATCCCTACCAGTTCTCAATAACCATTTAAACACACACACACGCGCACACACACACACACACACACAAATATACACGCACACGAGGCCAGATCCAACTTTTGAGGAAATCTCAAGGAGAATGATCACACAGAAAGAAACTAATGGGTGCCATAAATATAGGGAACATAAGTATTAATAATAAATGATAATGTACAAGGGACTAGCCACTATGAAAAACCCTTTGAGAACAATTGTGAGGTGTGTCAATTGAAACCAATTACTTATATTGGAGAGGCCAGGTTCTATAACACACTTTGGGTGTTTCTAGAATGAATAATTTCGTTTTGTTCTATTCTGGCTTCCCAGTTAGCCTGCCCTGATACCCTCACCCCAAGCCAAGGTTTGGTGGCTCGCTCTGTCCCCTAGTAGTTATTATCTATTGTGAAATGGTACTATCATTTTGTTTACCTTCTAGTATTTCTCACTAGGTTGTGAACTCCAGGAGGTCAGGAATCTAATCATGTTAGAGACAAGAACATGGCAGAAAACGCTATACACACACACACACACACACACACCCCTGAGACTGATGTAATCCAGTACTTTTTTTTTTTTTTTACTTTTTGTCTTGACCCATTAGTGGGTGAGAAAATCAATTTAGTAGGTCACGATTATCATTTTCAAAGGAATGTACTATACGACAGATCTGAGAGCAACCAAGTGGTTAGAGTAAGCACCACTTCATGAAACATCTACTTCTGTTACACTATACGTGTAGCACAGCGTCACAATGTCAAACATATTTCTGCAGCTCAGGGGAAAAGTTTTACAAGAGCACTCGTTAATGGCTCGCACCGCCCCTTTTCTCTAAGTCGCTTTCCCCTCTCGTCTGTTACCCCACGCCCCCTAGTCACCCACTCTTTACTGCATTCAATACATAACTGGGTCTTGGGGACCTCGAAGGGGATACTATGGGAAAGTTTATAGGGAGGTAAAAACTGCCCCTGCTTTCGAGAAACTCATCGAAAGCTTATTTCAAAAGAAAGAAAGAAAAAAAAAAAAAAACACAAGCACCCCTTCCCCGTGCTCCCCCTGCCCTTCCTTTCTGCTCCTCTCAGACTATCGCCCAGACGCGGCCCGAGCTCCAGACCCAGTCCGGCGGCCGTTGCCTGGGCCTTTCCCTCGACGGGGCCGCCCGGAGGCGGGACCTGGCCGCCCGCCCGCCCGCGGACCCTCCCTCCCGGCCCGCCACCACCCCCGCGGACGCGACTCACCGGGCACCACCTCCTCGGGTTCCCCCATGCCAAGGGGGATGCGGGGAGCCTGCGCCTGACCCGGAAAGGTGGCGGGGGCGACTCGGTGGGGCCTATGGCAGTGCCTCAGTCCCGACGCGGGCCGCGGAAGCCCCCCGGGCCCCCATAGCGACACCCCGGACATCGGCTACTACCGCGTCCCCGGAAGTCAACAAACAGCCGCTAGGGGCAACGGAGGCGGAACGTTGGGGCGCGAGGCGGGGCCGGCGACCGGGGACGGGAACAGTGGGCCGGGCGGCAGGCACGCGGGCGCAGGCGCAGACGCAGCGGGCGGGGCGGTAGAGGCCGCGCGCCCTCTGGTGGCCGGGAGGAGAGGGGCGGCCACGCCGCGCGCAGGGATGCTTCTGAGCCCGGGCGCTGATGGTGGTGGTTTATCTAGGCCCGGCAGGGACCTGGTAAGCGTAATGACAAACGTCACAAATATCACATACTCTGTCACTCAGACTATGTGACACAGGCAAACGTCGACACATAACCGTAACAATACTAGTAATAAGTGACCATCTCTAACTATAAATGAAATAGGGACTCTGCTAAATATCCAAAACGCATTTGTATTCCCAGCATGTAACCGGAGACCGTATACTAGATGCTCATTAAATCTTTCTCGAATGAATGAATCCTACCGCAATCCTGTAAGGTGGTTCATGTTAATCCCTCATGGATGTGTTGATTATACAAAGGAGGAGAGCTAGGGTCTACCTTAGCCAGCCCAACCTGTCCTTTGGACCTCTCCCTCTGTCCTCCCTGAGAAGGCTGAGGCGTGCCATCCTCTACTGACAGGAAATGCACAAAGAGTTTCACAAATAGCAGACCACCATTGCTTTAGAATTCGTCCAGAGATATTTTCCTACAAACTTTAGTTTCCCATACACCATAAAACAAAAAGGCAAAAAGCTATCTTCCAGGATGAGGAAATGTATGTACATGTGGTAGTTGTGGGCACCAGCTAGAAGCCGGATTCAAGGACCTTGTGTGGAGAAGAGTGTATTATTGACTTTCTCAGGGAGTTTGGTTAAAACCAGAAGGAGAGAGTAAACGAGGCAGTACACAAATAATCATTTACTTGCAGAGCAAAGTGGGGGGTACTAAGAAAGTGTTTAATGGGGAGCACTGGCCTGGTGTGAGAGGTTAAGAAATGCTTATCTGAAGAAACATCATTAAATCTAAGAACTGGAAGAAGCTGGGAGAGGTGAGAGCTCTGGGCAGAAAGTAAATCGTGGGCAAAGGCTCATAAAGAACAGAGCTCTTTGCAGGAGCTCAAAGAGGTGACACTAGCTCATGGCAATGTGGCGGGGTTGTGGACCTGTGAAGGACTGAGATTCCACCATAAGGACAGTGGGGAGTCATTGAGAGGTTTTAGGTAGTGGAGTGACAGGATCAGCTACGTGTATTCCTGGAATCATCCTGCCTGGCTGATTTGTGGGGAATAAATTGGAGCAAGGAGGAGGGTTCAGAGGCTACTGCAGATATAATGACAACCAGTCAGTATGGCTTAGAATATAGTGTATTGGCCAATCTGGAGGAGGCCAACCTAAAAACGTATTCGGAAGTAGAATCACCAGGAATTGGTAACTGACTACTGACTCTTGGGCAGTGCAGGACACTGTGGGAAAAGAAGAATTTTTAAAGACTTCCTTTAGTTATGGTATGCTTTAGGGTTTCTTTTTAAAGATTTTATTTCTTTATTTATTTAAGAGAGAGAGAGAGAGCTAAAGAGCAGGAACAGGAGAGGAGAGGGAGAGAGAGAGAGAAGTAGGCTCCTCCCTGAGCAGGGAGCCCCAAGTGGGGCTCGTTCCCAGGACCCCAGAATCATGACCTTAGCTGAAGGCAGATGCTTAACCCACTGAGCCACCTGGGTGCCCAAAGTTTGTTTGTTTTATTTCAAAAAGAGAAAGCACATTTTGCTGCTGAGCATTCCAGAAGGTACTGATGCAGCTCTACTCCAGGGTTTCCAACGTAAGCAAATGGGGGACGGCTGGTGCCACTCACTAAGATCGGGAACACCGTGGAAAGGGAAGGAAGGGTGGAGTTAGGTAGGCAGGGGGAGGAGAACATTACAGTTCACCCTCAAGCCCACTAAGGCACCAATGTGGAAGTGCTGAGCGGAGCAACCAATTGGCAAGTAGGAGCCGCAGGTGGAGGAACATATTTGGGGGTGCCTGGGTCTAGGTACCCTCAGGAAACACTTCTAGGTGAAAGACTGGAAAGTGACTATAGAATGAAAAGGAAAGAGAGACTGGGATGAGTCGTGCTAAAGGTCAACACTTAACAGCCCAGCAAGAAATGATGAAGCTGAAAAGCAGAGAGTAGCCACAGAAGGAGAGTTCCCAGATTAGGGGTTCAACAGAAGGGTGTGGTCAGTTGTGTCATGTGATGCTGAGAAATGAAGTTAGGTGGAAACTGCCCCTTGAATTTCGCGATGAAGAGATCATTTGTAGTGCTGAAAAGACGTGTTCGGTAGAGTGATGGAAGAAGAAACAATACTGGAGTAGAAAGTGGGAGAAGCTGAGAGCAACAAGTGAGGGTGAACCCCTCAGACATCGGAGACTGAAATGGGCTAGGAGGGGACAGGAGATAGTATTTGGAGGGGGAAGGGACATGGATGGAGGGCTTCTGTTAAGTTTGGGGAGACTTGAGGGGCACCTGGGTGGCTCAGTGGGTTAAGCCTCTGCCTTCAGCTCAGGTCATGATCTCAGGGTCCTGGGATCAAGCCCCACTTCGGGCTCTCTGCTCAGCAGGGAGCCTGCTTCCCCCCCCACCCCACCACCTCGGCCTGACTCTCTGCCTACTTGTGATCTCTGTCTGTCAAATAAATATATATATATAAAAATGTATAGGTCATATATATCTACATATCATATATACATAAAACTGATTCATATGATACAGATGCATATTGCATATGTCATATAATATATGATAATACTATTGTCTATCCCAGAAGCTGAGGGACTAGATCATGCACGTGGAGCTTACAGTGTGGTACCTGGGCTAGAGGGTATCACTCAATGGTGTTAGCTCTCACGAATAAGGCAGAGTCAGCTCTGCTCACTGTATCCATGTAACCCAGGCTATGCTTCATTGCAAGTGACACTCCAATCTCAGTGGCTTAACACAAACCGAAGTGTTCTTTCCCTCACTCATGCTACATGTCCACTGTGGGTCAGCGGGGGGATCTGCTTTACCTGATCACTCCGGGGCCAGGATCACTGACGGAGGTCTGACGATCTTGTAACTGTACAGTTTGTGACTCCTGACCTCTTTGGTGGCCGCAGCACGTCTAGAGAGAGGGGGGAAGTGGGGAATGAAATATTTCCAGCTAGAGGTAACATGTTTCTGCTTCTTACCACCCCGTGGCCAGATCCAGTGCTCTGGGCCCCCATGCGCTGCAGGAAGGCGGGGAAAGGTGGGAGAGTTCGTGACAGTCAGTAAGAAGTACGTGTCTCCACCACATCCCCGTAGCCAGATGGTCTCAAACTGCGGAGTCACTTTCCTCGTGTTGGAGAAGGCAGAGAGTGCTAAGGGATAATTTCATGACTCTTGGCTGCGGTCCTGTGCTCTCACCGTGAGTGCTCCCCTTCCTAGCCGGCCAACCTCAGGACATCACGTTGATATAGAGAAGTCATCACATGTCTGACAACATGCACAACTCTGGGCAATTTCCCCCCATTAATTCTAGTTGTTATTCAGTTCTGGAGCATTCTGTGTCAACTTAAAAATAGAAGCATGTACAAACAAGGAAGACATTTGATGGAGTACGCTTCCTCACTGAACTAGTTCCTTTCTTAGCAGCAGTCAACAAAACCCCCAAGGCTTGCATTTTGAATGACATTACAATGCCGCTGCCAACACCATTTCCTTCTCGGCAATCAGAAAAACAGGTGTATCTCCACTTGGAAAACCCTACTACCAAATCTTGTAGACATCCAGACTCACAAATGAGATTCTTTTAAAAAATATATATATATTTAAGATTTATTTATCTGAGAGAGAGCGCACGTGCACACTGGGGGACAGGGGGAGGCAGAGTGAGAGAGAATCTTAGCAGACCCTGTGCTGAGCACAGAGCCAGAGGCGGGGCTCGATCTCACGACCCGGAGATCAATAAATCCAATTCTAGTAGCTACTTTGATTTCTGAACTTTTGTGGTACAGCTCCAGGGTATATGAACTGAGGACATATAGGTCCAAAGCTGGGGAATTTCATTTATAAGAAAGTAGCAGAAATTAGGTGGGGACTACTACGCTATTACCCCAAGGAAGAAAATTTGCACTTTTCTTAATCATTTAATCCAGTATTTAAAAACCTTGAATGCACATACAGATCATCTAGTGGTCTTGTTAAAATTCAGATTCTGATTTAGCAGATCTTGGGTGGGCCCTATGAATTTGCATTTTTTTTAAAGATTTAATTCATTTATTTGAGAGAGAGAAGATCACAAGTAGGCAGAGAGGCAGGCAGAGAGAGAGGGGGAAGCAGGCTCCCTGCTGAGAAGAGAGCCTGAGGTGGTGCTCGATCCCAGGACCCTGAGACCATGACCTGAGCCGAAGGCAGAGGCTTAGCCCACTGAGCCACCCAGGCGCCCCCAGCATAGTGTTTTTAAAATGATTTCATGTTGCTGGGTTTATCAGTAATTTGTTCCTTTTTCGGATCTACCTTAATTTATTCATCCATTTACCTGTTGATGGACCTTTAGGTCCTTTCCGGTTTAAATAAAGCAGCTATGGCTATTCATGAGTGTGTGTGTGTGTGTGTGTGTGTGTGTGTGTGTGTGTACAAATCTCAAACTTCTTCTTTTGGGTAGATACTTAGTGTTTGCTGTCAGTTTTATGTTTTGCAAATATTTTTTCCCAGCCTATGGCTTGCTTTTTCCAAATCTTAAAGAGGAGAAAAAGGAAAAAATAAATAAAAAGAACCCAACCAAAAAAAAAAAAAAATTCAATGCACAAAAATAGAGAGTATGTACAAAAAGAATTAAACTTTAAACATTTGAACAATGAACTCCAGCATTAAGAGTGCAAATTAAATCATAAAACTTATTTATCTTCCCTACTGAACTGGCAAAGATTAAAAAGATTGCCAGGATAT